AGAGAGAGAGAGAGAGAGAGAGAGAGAGAGAGAGAGAGAGAGAGAGGGGAGGGTAAAGAGAATAAAGAGAATAGAGAGAGAGGAAAGAGAGTCAACGACACCGATAACACATGGTGCCACACATACGGTACACGACCACATGAGAGCATGTTGGTGAGTGTGTGGTGGTTAAAGATAAAAGGGGAAAAATAGATAAAAGTCTTTTCGAAGTGTGTGTTTCGATTCGAAGAACTTAATTGTCAGCCTTTTTCGTGGAGCAGAAGTTTGAAGATGGCACGCGGCACATCTCAAGACCGGGGGGGGGGGGGGAAGCAATGGACACACACACACACACACACACACACGAATACACAGGAACTCACACGGACGTACACACACGAATTACCACCCGCGAATATACACGCGGGCTGTTGTCATCACTGATCCTGGAGGGGGGGCTGCATAAAGATGCGCTTTGAATATTCATATGTGGAAATCATTATGGCACAGGCCGGTGCCGTCTTGGCGATTCGAGGCGTCAACCCTAAACCAATGGAAATGGAAAAAAAAAAAAAAAAGGAGAGGAAAAAAGCGAGGGCACAACATATTGATCCATTGAGTTCACGGATAATGTACCGCTATGGCTCAGGGAGAAAGACGCCAGCTCCACGCTCAAGCAGCATGATTACATACCGGCCCACAAGCCGCGGTAGCCGTGAGTGCGCAGCACGTCACGGATAATGTACCAAGCCGTTTCGCGTCCCTTGCGCAAGCTTGCTGCCGCGTTCGATCCACGACCCAGTTCTGCATGAACCAAATCGGCCCAGATACGCACGAGCAAAGCCCAAAGGCAATGAGTCCACAAGCACAAAAGGTGGCCGAGCAGCAGGCGCAACACGCACGTGATACCAGCTCGCCCAGCAGCGTTTGCTGACGCGTCTTGATAACATCAAAAGGCAAAGTGATGGCCGCGGCCACTGTTCCAGAGAGTGCTCCCGCCGTAAAGGCAATCCACAACGGAGACGTATCCGCACGGAAATGTGGCCCAAACTGATGCCGGCCCAGAGTCTCGCGCAGCCGTTCATACCCAAACCAATACAAAGCTACAGCAAAAAGGCAAGCCATGAGCATGGGTCAAGAGGCAAGACCATGTTATGACATGGCCACTCTTTTTTTTCAAGAGGTTCGCCACACCCCTGACCATCAAAGGCACGGGCCAAAGCCAGGTCACTGGGCAATCAACCGTAGTGATTTTCGAACCTGAAAAGGGGACGTCGCGCAGCAGCGTTGGGCCGAGACCACGCCACAGCACGCGGACGCCGCCAAGCTTGACCGCCGTCTGCACGACTTGCATCAACTCTAAAGTGCAAACGCAAGCAGGCCGAAACAAATGGAACGGCCAGTCAAAGCGACGCGGTGAGTGAGCTGGTGTCCCAGTGCGGCGCCGGAAAATGGCGGGCATCAACGCTGTAGCTGAACGCACCGCGATAGCTGTTATAGGTAGCAGCCTGCATCTTGGTTCGGACAAGCTCGAGTGGAGAGATAATGCTCGCTGCAAACACTACCGATAGGAATCAGGGGCAGTGGGCAGCAGCATGGCCTCCCGTGAGCACCCCGCAAGCTGGTTTGCTCCGTTTGCAGGACCAAACTAGGCGCCAAGGTTGTTGAGCTCCGCACCAAGAGCTTACCGCGAGAGGTGGCACCAGCTACGCCGGCACCGTAAGTCCAATCCTTGATGGGAGCAGAGTCGCGCAAGACATCGTAGGTGCTAAAGTAAATGACTGTGCTGGGCACGGACATGATCCTGATGGGGTTGGTCATGACATAAGAAAAGCATGAGGCGCCCAGTTGGAGGCAATCGTCTCGAGCATTGTGTGGCTGCATGCACCCGTGTCTCGTACATGGTAGGGGCCATGCCCCGCCACAAGGCGGCGGCGCCTTCGTGGCGGAAGATTTGATAAAAAGCGTCCTACAGAGGCAAAGGCGGCATGGACAAACGTGAGAGGACTACAAAGGGAGACGGTCAAAAAGGAAAGGGAACAACGCATGACGGTTATGCCGTTGGGCCGCAAACTGCACAACGCACCACGGTGCCGGTGAGATGCAGGCGGGGCCGTCCACAAGTGGGGCAAGGGGGACCACTCTCCACCATGCCGCAGTACGCCTCGCGCACACAGTCTAAATGCGTGGAGCTACGTATGAGACAGACGGGCATTGCTAGCTGATTCAGGGGACAAATAAGAAGGTGGCGGTTATCGGCACCTACTCTGGAATCGAGGTTGATTTTGCGCTTGAAGTCGCGTCTTGATTACATCAAACGGGGTCACTGAAGAGGGAGAGGGGGAGAAGGAGAGAAGGGAAGAGAAGAGAAGAGTCATGAGAACTTTGGCTTTGAGGACGGCCGGTAAATACGTGGGCATACAGTTGTACGCGGCAGCAATTGACGGCACGCACTCATGGCTGAGGTGAGAAAGGCGCCCGTGCCCGAACTCATCAGACGCTCGGTGTAAGTCAGGTTGTAGCGTGCTGCTGCCGGGGGAGTGGTAGGGGACGAAGGGCCGGAAGAAGGAGGCTGGCCACTTGGCCGATTGCCACCAGACCCACCGCTCTCGCCGCCACTCCCCTGGAGCCCGTGGGACGTGGGGGCGGCCCCTTGCATGGGCAGGGCAGCTGCAGCGGCCATGGCGGCCAACGGCCGATATGGTGTCACGGTAGGATTGTGTTCGGCCTGAAAGAGACGCTCGGTGCCACGATGACCCCGTAAGAGCTGCCCAAGGCGAGAGAGACTCGTAGGTGGGCGGTGGCGCCATTCTGGCCGCGGGGGCATGATGGTGGTGGCGTCCTGCTCACCAACAGTCTACGGCGGCAAGGAGAGGGTGTCATGTGAGCATGGTCGAAGCCCGGCGACCTCAACACCAGAGCTAGGGACCTGTAGATTAGCTGACTATGCAGGCTTGTTTGGCTCTTATGTCTGAGCTTACCAACTGCGAAAAGAGGTGACGGACCATCGGAACGGAAGAAACGGCCGGATCGGGCTCGGCTCCAAGCTGAAAGGATGCGCGCAACGAAAAAAAAAGGGTCCTGCGCGTGCGTGTGGGCTGGATGACTTAGACGACCAATGTCCTCCGCCTTGGTCCAGACAGCGAGGGGTAGGCACGAAGAACAACTCGAATAAGCAGGTCCAAACTGCCTCCTCACAGCGCCAGGGATGGCTCGGACCTGACGCGCTGCCGAGACAGAGACGGAGGCCACCTCGTGGCGCGTGACCTCGACGAGAGACAACGTGCGGCCTTTTGTGCCTCAAAACCAGGAGTTGCCACTCGATAATCACCGCCGGTTTTCTAGTAGCTCGGCTGCCAGTTCCCAGTGATAATGCCGTGCAATGCAGCAAGCTAGCTGCCGGTTGCGTGACCTCGAATGCATTTACACACACGCACACACACACACACACACACACGGCGACGGCGCGCGCACGCACACACTGACGTCCGCGACAGCGTTCGCTCGGTTCAAAGTACGGTTTCCGTCTCTTTGACTTTCTCTGCTATCAACGGCTCCTTGACTTTATTGTCTGAACAAGATGCGTTGTAAACCGTGTATCTCTGTTACACCTTGTGATTTGGTCTGGTACGGGCAAGTGATTGTGGCCATTCTCTGCTTGTGACGCCTCCATGGCATCTTTCTCTGACATCATCACACCCGTTAAAGCCATTCTCTGCCTCACACGCGCACCTTCCAATGTCATCCGTTTTATTGTCACGGTGACACCATATGAATGCAGGGTGTGGTCAATCGTGCTCGTGGGTGTGATCGGATAAAGGTACGGGCCGTGTGTAACTGTTGGACATGTGTGACGAATCATAATCAACCGTGTGTTGCAGGGGTGTGTAACGTGTGTGCAACAACTGCGACGACAGCTGCGAGTATGTGTGCTCCGGCTGCTCCGGCGGTCGACTCCGGTGATGACCAAAATGCATGGGAGCTCAGACCTGCACAGCCCTCAAACACTCCTGTCTCTCTGGCCTGATTTGTGACCCAGCCAGCTCTTCTTCCTGCAGACCCGGGTCGCTTCCTGCTGGCTGCCATCAAACAAGCACGGACCATTTCACTGGCTTCGTCTCCTGTTGAAGATATTACTATGGTCACTTCTTTCGCCTCTCTGATACTCGACAGCTTTGGTAAGGTCACGTATCAGCTCCAAGTGTGACGTTTGACATAGTGTGTCAAACCTCAAAGTGTGAATAAGCGTGACTGTTACACTTCCATGTGCCACGACCACACACACTTTCTACGGTTAACACTTGGTAATGGTTCAAGACACATCGCCTCCAAAATGGCAGCGACCCCCCTCCCTGCGCCCCTCCCGCCCTCCTCCCGCCCTCCTCCCCCTCCTTCTGCTGCTGCTGTAGTCTGGCCAGATGCTTCTCAGGCGTCTGAAGACTGGCCATGACAGTGGGTCTAGACAGATCTTGAGACGCTGATCGCTTACTGAAGCAGAGGAGAGAGAGGGGAGGGGGCTCGATGTTCAGTCTCTCGCTCTCTGTGCCGGGTCTTTCGAGTATCGGCGGGACGGGAGAGCGCGGGACGGGGACGGGTGGGCGTTGGTCGGGGTGGGCTTCAATGCAACCTGATGCGTGTGTCGTCGTTGGGATGCTTGGGGGCGTCTCGTCTTGTGTGTGTTTCTTGTTGCTGCTGTGCACCACACTGGCGGGATCAGCCTCAACTCACCGTTTGCCGGCTGATCTCATCACGATCCGCAGATTCTTCTCAACTCGCCATCATGTCTGACAACAAGTTGCGCGCCGTCCTCATCGGCCCCCCTGGCGCCGGCAAGGGCACTCAGGCAAGAAGTTGGCGTCGTTGCTGCAGCCGCGTTTTCGACAAAATTTGTGCTCACACCGATCCTGATCCCCTCGGCTGCAGGCCCAGAACATTGTGGACAAGTACAGTGTGTGCCACCTGGCCACGGGTGACATGCTCCGTGCTGCCGTCGCCGCCGGTACCGAGATGGGCAAGCAAGCCAAGGCCGTCATGGATGCTGGCAAGGTACCCCACACACATGCAGAAACACACCCGCCTCGGCCCTCTTCCCACATGCATCTTGCGCTCATTGGCGCTCCTCTGATTCCCGCAGCTTGTGAGCGACGAGATTGTGGTGGGCCTCATCCGTGATAACCTCGACACGCCCGAGTGCGCCGCTGGGTTCCTCCTCGATGGCTTCCCTCGCAACGTCACCCAGGCTGAGAAGGTTGGCTCATGTTGCCTGGTGTCAGTGCTTCCTTCAGCATCGGCATCTGACCCCCTTTCCTCCGAGTGCTTTGCTCATGTCACCCGCCTGCCACCCGTTTAGCTCGATGATCTGCTGGCCCAGCGCAAGACCAAGCTCAACGCTGCCCTCGAGTTCAAGATTGATGACAGCCTCCTCGTCCGCCGTATCGAGGGCCGGTTCGTCTTCTGCCTTGTCCTTGCTCCCGCTCGGCTCTGACCGCGTGTTCTTTCCTTGAGCTGCTGATTGCAGCCCAAACATGTCTCCCTGTGCCCTCTTATCTGATCGCTCTTGCATCCTTGTCTCTCCCGCCACAGTCTCATTCACAAGGCCTCGGGCCGCTCGTACCACACCGAGTTCAACCCACCCAAGGTGGCTGGCAAGGACGACTTGACCGGTGAACCCCTCATCAAGCGCTCGGACGACAACGTCGATGCCCTCAAGAAGCGCCTGGTCGTGTACCACGAGAGCACTACTCCCCTGGTCGATTACTACACCAAGAAGGTACATACGCTATGGGCCTTGCATGGTCTTGTGTGTGTCCGTGTCCGGGTCTGTGTGTGTGGCAAAGCGCCCGGCAGCAGCCCCGCTGCTTTCGCCCCTTTCTCACACGCTTGCGCCCTGTGTTGCATGCGCGTTTGTGTTCTCCCAGGGCATCCACGCGTCGGTCGATGCGGCCGACAAGCCCGCCAATGTGTGGCAGAAGATTCAGAACATTTTCGATGGCTGCGTTCGCAAGTAAACGAACCAATACAAGCACATTCCTGATCCAGCTTTCCAACTCTTCCCCGACCGCCCCGCCATGCCTCCCCGTTTCCCTTTAGGCTCAGACGACCCATGACAGCATGTGTTGAGACGAGAAACCCTTCCCTTCCATCCGACCTTGGGAATCCCAATTCAACAGTTTTGCTCCAATTTTTGCTCTGTTTCCTGTTCAAACCATAGCCCGACGGCAATTCTTGACCCACGCACCGGTGTGATCAGCTTTCTGGCATCCCCGATTTTGAGTTTGTACGGTGCCTGGCCCGCGGGCGGGCAAATGACAGAGCCCGTGTTATGCACAACTCCAATTAAGAAAAGAAAGCAAAGGTCTGACCCACTCGCAAGGTATCCAGAGCTGACAGGCCTACAAGCGCTCGCGGAGAAAGTGGACAATGTTCTGCAGCTCGTCCTGCGATAGCTGTAACATGCGACACAAAAACAAAACACGTCAGCACCACCAAGCCTCTGATTTGCCCCGTCTTCGCCGCCCATTCATTCCCCACATGGCCTCCCCCGAAATGTGTTTCCCCCCGTCCCCCTTGCAGCAAGCACGTACGCTGTGGCCCATGCCAGGATACGGCGTGAAATCGGTGTTGGTCACGCCTTGCTCTTCAATGGCCTTCTTTGCGGCTTCGGCCCAGGGCACATCAACGACGGCATCCATAGTACCGTGGTGAAACCGCACGGGCACCTCCTTGGCTGCTTCCGACACCTTGAGCAGGTCGGGGCGCGGCAAATAGGAGGACAGAATCAAAAGCCCGGCCAGTGGCTTGTTGTGGGTCAGTCCCGTGTGAAGGGCGACGGCACCACCCTGAGAGAAGCCCATGATGGCCACCTTGTCGTCGCCGACGCTGGCACACTCCTCCTCGACCAAGTGGCGCACCGACTCGATGGACTGAAGCAGACCGGCGCACTCTTGTGTGGTACGGTCATCAAAGCTGCTGATGTCGTACCATGAAGGCATGACCATGCCCCCATTGACGGTCACGGGCTGCGCGGGCGCACTGGGCACCACAAACTTGGTATCTATAGACCGATGCAAGCATTCAGTTGAAGGATGAGCCCAAGACCTTGCACACTGTGGTTGGGGCATTCAGCTACTCTGTTTGTTGCTTCACGCCTTTGCAGGATCCGTACGCACCGGGAAACATGCTACCAAGAATGGACACGACATCCCCGAAACCATCAGCCGAGTCTCCCAGGCCGTGCAGCACCAGGAGCGAGCTGAGGTGCTTGCCAGAGCGCGGCTCGGCAATGGCCGTGGTCGCCCGCAGCATCTCCTCAGCCCGCACGCCAGCGTGCAAACGCGGCACCACGCGGCTATACATGTCGCCCTTTGAGCTTGACGCTCCCCTTTCCGCCTCAACCTTGATAATGGCCACCAAGAACCAGCTCAAGAGCACAATCAACCCGCCACGTGACGACCACGACTGCGCAGCCATCGAGCAAAACTGAAAGAAGACACAGAGAGAGAGAGACAGAGACAGAGAGACAGAGAGAGAGAGAGAGAGAGAGAGAGAGAGACAGAGAGAGACAGAGAGAGAGAGACAGAGAGAGAGACAGACAGAGAGAGAGAGACAGAGAGAGAGAGACAGAGAGAGAGAGACAGAGAGAGAGAGAGACACACACAGAGATTGAGAGCGAGACACAGAGCAGAGAGGGACAAAGACCGACAGAGAGAGACAGAGTCAGAAAGACGGAGAGTCAGAGAGATAGTCACACAGATTCAGAAAAACGTGCATACACTCACACACACAAAGAGCGAGAGACCAAACAGAAAAGGCTGCTGGATAATAATATTATGATGTGTGATGGTACCCACTTCTCTCGATTAGACTGGATGCCGAGCTCGTATCCTGGCTCAACAGCTCGCCATTAACCATCATGATGATGTTAGGAGTGTCGTGAGGAGTGTCGTTTTCGCGGCAAGCCATGGCATGCTTGGTCTGACTTTTTCAATTGGGGCTTGTTGATGCCTGGTGGGTGTTGTGGTGCCAACACCTTTCTCTCTAGCAGCGACAGTTTTAGCCCAGCTTGCCCATGTTCTGCTTGGCCTTGAGCGTTCGGATGCCATGGTAGAGGAAGCCATCGATCATGCCCGCCACTACACCCAAGGAAAACAGGCGCAGGCGACATAGGTGAGCTCGCATCCCAGGCAACAACACCAAAACGAACAGGTCAAGCGGAAAAGAACTCTTCGAGCACTGACCCGTGTAAACACCGCCAATGATGGCGCACAGGCCCGTCAAAAAGTGGAAGAAAGAGCGGCTGCGCAGACACCACCAACGAAACAAGTAAGCGGGGCAGGGCGGGTCGAGACAAGTACGATGATGGTTCAACACCAAAACTTGCACTCACCTGGACTGCGTGAGCTGGATCTTCATGGGACTAATGTCATACATGAAGAAAAGGCCAGGGAGGCCTGAGGTGCCCTGATCTGGACGAATCTCACGCTGGTGCATGGTGACCGAGTACTGATTGGTATCAATCTGAAGCATTTCAAATATGACGACAGAAGACATTGACGTGAACATCTGAATTCTTGTTGCTTTGAGCATCGCCGCATGGATGGGAGGCATGGTGCAAGATGGCTGACCTCGGTTTGAGACAGGAAACGGTAGCGGGTTGGAACAACCTTCAAAAAGTACTGATACATGATCGCGCCATCTGCAAACAGGTGACCATTTGGATATTACGGTTTCCCCGTGCAAGCAACGGTGTCAGAGTCAAATCGGGCAATCGTGATGAAAAATGGCCATCACAAAGCACGGACAAGAAGCGGGGCACGAGGCGAGTAGCAGAACGAACATTCATTAGGAACTTCAACATGACCGTCGAGTGAGTTGACGCGGTCCGGATAGTCGATGCCAAAGCTCAAGTGGTTAATGACGTGGGTGAGGTTGAACTTGGCCAGTTTTTCGCGACCAAAGGATTGCATGTCGTGGATATGCATGTTGTGCTGCTCAAAGCTGCGGCCCGGGGCAATGTGAAAGTTGCCAGCCACCTTGTTCACCTCCAGGTGGCCATACAGCTGACAGCCCTCTCGTTCCTGTGCCTCCATCATGGCATCGTAGCCTAACATCCCAGAGCAGGATGGCGCACTGAGATGAGCATCAAAGCCATGGACAGGACGCATTTTCGGTACGAGAACGATCTATTTCTGGGCACTGGTGAGACACGGCACGCACCTTCGCGCTCACACTGTGCGATACCCTGGCCGGAACGGAAGGCCCAACCCTTCTTGCGATAGGCTTCCTGGACCTGAGCGCAGGTATTGCAGCATTGACCCTCGGTGTCCTCTGCACCGTAGCAACTCTCGCAGCGGTTCGGATCCAAGTCCTTCAACCCGTCCAGCGCCTTATCCGCGACGTTGTCAGCGTGCTGTATCAACCGGTCATGGATGAGATCAGAACAGGTGCGAGGAGAGAGAGAGAGAGAAAGAGAGAGAGAGAAAAAAAAAAAATAAGCAAGTCATCAGGAAACACGTGTTGTTGGTGTTGGGTCATGGGTAGGCTGGAACGTACACTCTCGCCCAACTCATCAATTTCCTCCTGGCCGTTGTAAATCTTATTACCCGAAGCGTCCAGTCTGCATGTTACACGCATCAATGAGCGAAGCATCCGGGCAATACGATTGAGGGACAAAAAAGGATGGTAGAAAGACACTCTTAATGCGCCTAGAAGCTGTGCACACAAGCAGTCAGCGCGCCAAAGCAGTGCGACAAACCGTTGGCGAAACACGTCGTGGTCAATGTTTTGCTCGTTTTCACCTGTGCAAGTGTTGGGTGTTAGTTGGGATGGCCAGCGCACGGGGACAGGACAGGATTACAAGAACGAGCTCAACAAAAGGGACGGACCTGAAATGTCCATGACATCCAGGCTGAGGTAGACGCAGGGCATCTTGGGAAAGGTAATGTCCAGATTGATGCGCAGTTTCTCGTTGCGAGCCGTGTCCACGAAGAGCTCCTCGTGCACGTCAGTGGATAGGCTGCAGGCATCAAAGGTGAAGGATGATGTAGGGCAGCGCACACATTGAAGGGAGTGGCCGAGGTTGGTGGCAAGCATGGGTGAAGGACAGCAGGGCGTTAGAATAGACGAGAAGAAGCAAGCCTGGACGAGCAGCAGGCAAGGTGCGGCCCAGGGCAAGAAGGCGTACAAGTAGACGAGCTCGGAGCTGAAGAGAATCACCATGATGATAATGGCAATGATGGAGACGGCGGCACCACTAAAGGTCTTGACGCGAAAGTCATCCAGTGTCTTGGGATAAGCGTCGAAACGCTTCAAATTATCAAAGATGGCCATGCTGGCGGCCAGAGGTGGGCCGGAGAGCCCCAGGCACACTCAAATCTCAAATCAAGCAAGAGTGACGACCGAGCCAGCGATCGGGATCGTTCGATCCACCAGTGCTAGCCAATCCGTCCAACACCAGCCCAGCACAAAAGCGAAAGGAAATCCAGTGCTTTCCAGCGCCCCGACCGCCGCTGCTATCCCACTGATCCCAACACCGCACGCCCTCCCCGACTGCCCTTTCAGCGACTTTGAGATAGAAAAAAAAATTGAGAGAGAGAGTTTGAGAGAGAGAGAGCGACGTGTCAGTCAACGGATGCATTGTTTGCAACACAAGTTCTCAACAATTCACCACCCCAGTGCTGAAGCCTGCTTCAAGCTTTGCTACACTAATGCCGTATAATATAACGACAGTTGTCTTTGTGTACATCAACAGAACGACATTAAGTGTAACATATGCGTAGATTACTCGAAGTGACCTGATCATGGACGGCATCGCCAGCCCCGATTCGGCATCGTCCTGGACATGATGCGCCGGCCGCAGGGGGAGAATGGAGGCTGGCAGGGCCAGGGGAGGGGCAGAAGTCGACCACACAACGATCAAAGCAGTACCTTCACGTTAAAAAACAAAGAGGGAAGGCGTCGGCTTGGAGAGGACTCTGAGGGGAGGGAGGGGGCGTGTTTGGTGGCTTAGGGGCCGTTCTTGCTTTCAAATGCACGACTGGTTGCTGTGGGCAATGGCATGTTACGTTTGGGATGGCAGCACCGCGCTTGCTGCGACGCCAGAGCAGCTTGGCTTGGTTGACACGCTGCAGAATCGCCCCGGTCTCGTAGGCTCCACGCTCGCCAAGTACATATACACACACACACACACACACACACACACACACAACGTCAACCCAGTACGCCGCGTCACACTCTGATACCCACTGCCCTTTTCCAAACGCGTGTGTCGTCGTCACTCGCACTTGTCATCTCAAACTCTCTCTCAAATACTCTTCTCTCAAAAACTCTCTCAAGCTCTCTCTCTTTCTCTCTCTCTTTCTCTCTCTCTCTCTCTCTCTCTCTCTCTCTCTCTCTCTCTCTCTCTCTCTCTCAAGCTCTCAAGCTCTCAAGCTCTCAAGCTCTCAAGCTCTCAAGCTCTCAAGCTCTCTCTCTCTCTCTCAAACTCTCTCTCTCTCTCTCTCTCTCTCTCTCAAACTCTCTCAAACTCTCAAACTCTCTCTCTCTCTCACTCTCTCTCTCTCTCTCTCCTTGATTTCAGTTTTTATTTTATTTTATTTCCATAAAGGGCAGCGTGTGGGCGTGTCGATGCCCGCGTATAGGTGGTGCATGTGAACGACAGGGCAGGGCCAGAGGCAAGCAGGCGTGCGTGTGCTTGGTGTTGGCCGTCAACCCTTTGACAGAGGTTGCATAAGCCGTGCAGTCCGCTTTGGCCGCTGTGCTGAACACAGCCCCCTTTTCTCCAAGTCGTTCTGTGC